ATTTGAGTATTCTGTATTATTATTATTATTATTATTATTATTTCCATACAGTTAGTAACGTCATAGTCCACATGCGGTCAGGTGAGTGCAAACTCTTCAATATTTAATCATACTTTTTTTACTTTAATATAATTTATCATTGTTAGAATATAAAAACCAATAATCTGTGATGTTATTCGGTGGACATCAAGAGACATTATTCGTTCAATTGTTTTAAATATCATTATTAAAATACGGAGTTTTCCGGTATTGATATTCTGGAATGTTTCGGAAACTAGCGTGGCCATGATTTTTTTTTTTAATTCTGTAATACGATGGCTGTCTACGACAGTGAAGATGACAACGATTTTTGATGAAGAAAGACGAGATTTCTCTGTCGACGAAGACAACGTTATCCCAGATGACGAAGACATCTATTCTGCAAACAATACAGGTGAAACTGCCATGACAACATTCTTTTATAGTACTGAAACAATCGAATATTTTTTTAAGGAAATGCAAATTGTTTAGATATAAAACTCTTTGTTAAATGTATGACAGATACAAATTCTTTTCAGTTATACCGTCCGGAATATGGCGTCACCCGTGGTTGGAAAAAGATTTTAATATACAGGGTTATTCAAAAAGAGTATTTATTTCGCCTGGATAAACATTACGTCTCACCCAGGGATTTTCAACATTGGCGTGTATGACCTCTTGGGACCGATGTGAACACCTAAACTTAAATATTCAGTAACCGTTATGGGAGGCGTTCTAATTTTAAATGCATCTGAAAATGATTTAACCATTTGGATCTTGTTTAAGTATATACATGTATATACATTGTATGTACATGTATATACATGTATATACATTTAACTATATATTTGCCTGGGTACATTATTCGGACTATTGTCCTTATCTTTGTCGCCATATTTATTACAACGTTTCGGCCTTTCAGTATCTGTCTATATTTCTGAGATGAGGTATTATGTACATTATTTATATTATTCGGGCTGTTGTCCTCATCTTTGTCGCCATATTTATTACAACGTTTCGGACGTTGTACGCTCCGGCCTTCTTCTTTGGTTGGAATTTCGCTCACTGGGTAGACTGTTCTAGTTCCACAGGCCATGTTTAATGGATGTCAGTTATCAGTTATCTCCTGTAAATTTCGAAAATTTAATAAAAGCAAATGCTAAGAGACTGAAATTAATTCAACACATTACTACGTAGGAAAAGATGAAAATTTCTTGTTTCAAAATGTAGTACACAAAACGACTTTTTCTGGTGGTATGGCTATTTTAAATGTTGACACAAGTTATATACAATTTAAATTTATACAAATTCTGAAAAAAAGTGAATATTGAGAAAAAACATTTTTATGAATACGAGGAAAGAGGGTGAATTTTTTAACAAATTCGGGACGTGATATAGCAAAACAGAGTATAAAATAGTGACCAGCGCACCTACATTACAGAGAACTGTCAAAAGTAAAAAAAAAATCATTTATTCCTCAGTGAATTAATTACGTCCTTAAAACAACCCCATTAAGTAACCCTCTAGTGGATTTTGAAGAAACAGATTATAAAAAAAAAAGGTAACGGGAAGAAACGCATAGACATGTTGACAGTAAAGATTTTCACACTAATTCGACTGGATAGTTCCACTCAATAGTCACTTAGTAATTCCTACTAGTATACACTAGGCGGAAAACATATATTCATAGATCCAGAGTGTCACGCTCGAACCTTGGTGTCGGTAGTTACTCCTTTTATTCCTATATGACATCATCATCATCATCATTATTATTATTATCATTTCTATACAAGTATTAATGTCATAGTCCACATGCGGTCGGGTGAATGCAAGTCTCTTCAATATTTAATCATTCTCTTTTGTCTAATTTATAATTTATCATTGTTAGAATATAAAAACCAATAATCTGTGATGTCTTTCGGTGGACATTATATGACACTATTCTTTCAATTATTTTACATATCATTATCAAAATCTCAAACGATTTGAGTATTTATTTTGCCTGGATAAACATTACGTCTCACCCAGGGATTTTCAACATTGGCGCGTATGACCTCTTGGGACCGATGTGAACACCTAAACCTAAATATTCGGTAACCGTTATGGGAGGCGTTCTAATTTTAAATGCATCTGAAAATTAGTTAACCATTTGGATCTTGTTTAAGTATATACATGTATATACATTGTATGTACATGTATATACATGTATATACTTGTATATACATTTAACTCTATATTTGCCTGGGTACATTATTCGGACTATTGTTCTGATCTTTGTCGCCATATTTATTACAACGTTTCGGCCTTTCAGTATCTGTCTATATTTCTGAGATGAGGTAATATGTACATTATTTACATTATTCGGATTATTGTCCTCATCTTTCTCGCCATATTTATTACAACGTTTCGGACGTTGTACTCCGGCCTTCTTGTTTGGTTGGAATTTCGCTCACTGGGGTATACTGTTCTAGTTCCACGGGCCATGTTTAATGGATGTCAGTTATCAGTTATCTCCTGTTAATTTCCCTCTGAAAGTTCTCCACTGCCTTAACCGGGTCTTTGGGTCCTATCACGGGATTTAACCAACGCCTTTATCCACTGTGCCATGTGTCTTTGAGGACATCTGTGTATGAATTTCTGAGTATTATAAACCTAATGCCTTCAGCAAACATTTTTACCAGTGCTCATATTGCAATTTTTTGCTGTTATCATTTCATGTTTTTACCAGTGTCAGTTCAATATCTTGTTAAGGGAGTGGAGAACTTTCAGAGGGAAATTACCAGGAGATAACTGATAACTGACATCCATTAAACATGACACGTGGAACTAGAAAAGTCTACAGTGAGCGAAATAAAGCGTTAAGTTCGACATTCCAAGAAGAAGGCCGGAGCGTACAACGGCCGAAACGTTGTAATAAACGTTTCGACAAAGATGAGGACAATAGTCTGAATAATGTAAATAATGTACATAATACCTCATCTCAGAAATATATACAGATACTGAAAGGCCGAAACTTTGTAATAAATATGGCGACAAAGACGAGGACAATAGTCCGAATAATGCAAATAGTGTACATAATACCTCATCTCAGAAATATAGACAGATACTGAAAGGCCGAAACGTTGTAATAAATATGGCGACAAAGATGAGGACAATAGTCTGAATAATGTAAATAATGTACATAATACCTCATCTCAGAAATATAGAGAGATTTGTCTGCAGGGTGCAGGCGAGTATCAGAACAAAGAATAATGTGACAAAATGGATAAGGTGTCCAAACGAAGTGATTCGCCTGCTTATAACAGACTTCTTCAGGTAGGAATGATAGACAACTGAATTTTCATGGTTATTTTATAGTCGTATGACTCGCGAGAAACTTATTCCATTATTAACTTCAGAATTATGATTCATCCAAAAATTAAAATCACAAAACCGTGAAATTTGCCTAAAATTAACGGTAAGAAAACTTCTCCAAACCATTTACTGCCAAATAAAAAACAATATGAACATCCTCTACGTGTACTAATGCTATAATTTTTAACAGGGGTTGTAGCTATTCGGCTGAGTGGCTTTCTCGCTAAATTCTTCGGTTATGTGACGCGTAATATCTGCTGCTGACTCACAAAGTCCGACTATGATTTTGAGCGGTAGAAACGTTGTTATACAGAAAGCTGATGGGAATGCCATTGACTAAACATGTAAGCAACAACGAAGTTTTCGGAAAAATGGAAACAAAAAGAACATTTATATTTCAGATCCGTATATTTTTGCCTGGATAGCATTAGGCTGTACAGCATGGCTCGAATGTCTTGTCCCCCCCACCCTACATAATAAAATGTTCTACTTTAGATGCCTGATACGAAAATGATGCTGTTCCTACAGACCTTCTCGATGTGTGACAGCGTTAATAAAAGTGAATAAATTGAATCCATTTCATTTGCTTTGTATTACTGTCTAACTTATTTTTTCCATTGTTCTGGTTACTTTTTGAAGGTGGGGATGACAAAACTTTCGGAAGATTCTGTATTGAAAGTATCGGTTTATGTCGCGAGATAAAGGTTTAGTCAAAATTCTGTCCTTTGATGGTGAGATTAGGATGACCTCTCCATGGAGCAGACCTGGGCGATGATATATAGAGGCCGAGCACTGCTCAGATCACATGGTTGTTGGTGTTGACAGCCAACTGCATTAGCACTTTCATATCCTTTTCTTTCACAGTGGTGTTATAAAAGCCTCGGAGAATTCCAGTAAGATATCTTTAATCATTTCTAAAATATAACGGTTCAAAGCTTCATCTAACAAATGGACAATTTTGCAGTTACACCCGATAATTTTCTATTACAGAATTTTGTGGGTTATGATCAAGGAGAGAGATTCCAGAATACTTATCAGTTGAAAGGCGCAGTTCAGAGAACCTTTGCAACAATCAACAATTTCGTAAAATACATGGGCATGGGGCTGTCACGAAAATGATGGTGACCATACAGACCTTCTCGATGTGTGACTGGGACAATGACAGTGAATAAATTGAATCCATTTCATGTGCTTTGTATTACTGTCTAACTTGTTGTTCTATTGTTCTCATTAACTTGTGGTAGAATTAACCAGACTTTCATACCACCCTGTAAAACAAACGTGACTAAATGTATAAGCTGTCCAGCAAACGCGTTTCATCTCTTTATAACAGGTGTTTCATTAACTAACGAAGAGCTGGCGGGAAATAGATGCAGTCATACTTTTCCCAATGGTATTTGCGCGTTAATAATTATAAAGAACCCAGATGAAACTGGAACTCGGCTCTCCAATTAATAACTCCGAGCCATTATCTATTATATCACTCTCACATCCAGTCTCACAACTCCTGGGACTCCCAAGCGATTACCCATCTAGGTACTGAAACAAGTTCGACGTTGCTTAACTTCGGTGTTCGTATAGGACCGGTTTTGAAACCTATGTCCGTAATCTATTTAGATCAAGCTTAGAGCACCTGATACGCCCAAGAGGTCACCCATCTCGGTACTGATCAGGCTCGACGTTGCTTAACTTCGGTGATTGTACAGAAACCGGTGTTTGAACGTGATGCGGTCGTAAGCCCTTTATACCCCCTGCAGATCCAAGCTTTCACAACCTGGTATTTCCAAGCGGTTATCCTTCTAGGTACTGACAAGGATCGACATTGTTTAACGTCGTTGATCGTACCGGAACCGGTATTTCAACGTGATGTGGCCGTAAACCCGTTTTACTTCGTTGTTAATTTACGTTCACCAAAGAGAGGACATGTTTTAACAACGCCAATTGTCAAATTAGATTTCAGTCTCGCCAGCTAACCACTAGAGAGAAGAAAAACGCCATGATTGCTGTTGAATTGTTTATGGAACCGACAGAAGAGTAAAAGAAGGAAACAGACGGGAAAGAAATCAATCATGTGAGCGATTTTCCTTCTGCATATAAAAGATAAGCCAAATGTTTGGAGACATTGTTTGGATTTCGAAGCAGCGCCTAAAAATTGATGTTTACGTGACTTTCCCAAAATTAATTTTCTAGCACACTTTGGGCCAGAGAGATTTTCCTCTTCCTGATTCCTTTCTTCAAGAATAATAATAAGGAAATTAAGTAAGTGCTACATAATTTCTACTTAAACTTAAAAAAATAGCTGTGTTTAGCCAAATAGAAGTTACTTAAACCAAAGCAGGTATGAAACATACAAATTATTAAAACCAGAAAGTAGTACAATAACTGGGTGTAACAGCAAAATTGTCTACTTCTAAGATACGATGGTTCAAAGTTTCATCTAACAATTGGACAATTGTGCTGTAACACGATTTGGAAAATTTTGCTGTTTCAAACTGCATATATATATATATATATATATATATAAAATAGAGAAATTATTTTAAGTCATTTTTATGTTTATACATTCTTTTTTATAGATACAAATAATTAAGTAAATGCTCTGTTTATAATAAACAGTATTAACAATATTTACCGGCCTGAATGTCCGAGAAATTTTCATAGAAAATATGCGTCCTCCGACAGGAATCGATCCTGTATCCTATACAGAACCGTCATATAGCCTAACGTGCTTTTACCGATTTCGCCACAGAGGAGCGCTTCGGATTGCAAGGTCGATTTTACTGTTACTTATAAACAGAGCATTTACTTAAATATTTGTATCTATAAAAAAAAAAAAGAATGTATAAAGATAAAAATGTCTTAAAATAATTGTCGTATTTTATCCATTTCATAATATGTGACGTCATTTGTTTACATTTGGATACGCATCGAGCAGATATGAATGTACGTGAGAAAATCATGGAAAATTGTAGTTTAAAAACAGTAAAATCGTTATGAGCAGTAGGACAAGGTCAATATCCATCTGTAGATTGCATAAAGGATTCAGTTCGGAATACACCTGATGGGGCCAGAGGGCATAATGATCGAAACGTTGTGATAACAATATCGAAGATGGCGACAATAGTACGAACGTAAATGATATTATAATAATTATATTATTGTAAATTATATTATATTATAATAATTATATTATTATAAATAATATATTATATATTTGTAATAATTAAGCATTTCGAAAGAAATTATGTTTTACTTCCACCAAAAACAAAAATAAAAGACAAGATATCCCCAGCCATGGCAAGTGAAACGATTACATCAGTCACACAACTAAATGCCTATCCAGACGCCTTACCTTAACCCTCTCTGATCCCAGCTCTATTAGAATCCATTTGACACAGACACAAACCTACCAGATTCAATTCGAAATATACTAGTAGAAAACTAAAATATAATAACCTCATTCATCTGTATAAAGGAACAGTGGATTGCGAAAATATAATAAAAGCAAATACTAAAAGACAAAACACATTCAACACTAAAAGACAAAACACATTCAACACTAAAAGACAAAACACATTCAACACTAAAAGACAAAACACATTCAACACATTACTCGATAGGAAAAAGTTCAAAGTTTATTATTTTAATGTTGTTCAACTAGTATTCATTTAACATGCGCACCATTTGTTGTTCGACAAACGACAAAAAGGTGTTCCACTTCTTGTCACACTCAAATCAATTGATCTGTGGATATTGACTTTATTGCTTAAACAATTTCAAATCTCAATATCTTCAAGAGCAGCAGGCATAGGTGTTACAAACACTCTTTCTTTAATATACCCCCACAGATAAAAATCGCAGTACACAAAACAACTTTTCTTGTGGTGTGGCTATTTTAACGCTTGACACAAATTATAACAATTTCAATTTATACAAAATCTGAAAACAACAACAAAAAGAAACATTTAAACAAGATTGAAAAAAAAAATTAAATAAAAATGCATTTATTTTAATAACTTTAACATTTTCCGATCCAATAATGTCTTTCTGTCTCTTAGCATTTGTCTTTATTACTCTACTCTTTGTTTTTGAATAACCCCGCATATATATATATATATATATATATATATATATATATATATATATATATATATATATATATATATATATATATATATATAAATAAAAAGAAAAAAGAGAACAGTAATATAAAATCCGGTGTTCTTATAGATATTTTATTTTTTTTATATTTTTTTTTTTTTTTTTACAAAATATGTTGTTTATATGCTATTTTTATAGATACAAATATTTAAGTAAATGCTCTGCTTATAATAAACAATGTTAACATCCTTTACCGGCCTGAATATCCGAGAATATGATATATATGAACGAGATATGAGCGTTCGAGAAAAACCATGGGAAATTGCTAGTTTAAAAGCAGTAATTCGACCTTGTAAATGTTGTTAATACTGTTTATTATGAACAGACCATTTACTTAAATATTTGTATCTATAAAATTACTGCATAAATATATTAAAATAATAGTCGGACTTAGTCCGTTTCATAATATATGACATCATATATATAAATACATATAGACAGAATATAATATATATATATATAATTCAAATATATGTCCCTGTCAAAGCGTGAGAATCTCTATTTTACACACCCAACTCTATTAATGCAACAAAAATGAATGAAGAAAGAAAGAAAGAAAGAAAGAAAGAAAGAAAGAAAGGAAGGAAGAAAGACAGAAAGAAAGGAAGGAAGAAATAAATCAAGGAAGAAAGAAAGAACGTAAGGAAGGAAGGAAGAAAGAAAGAAAGAAAGAAAGGAAGGAAGAAAGACAGAAAGAAGGGAAGGAAGGAAGGAAGAAAGAAAGAAAGAAAGAAAGAATAAAAATGAAAAAGAAAAGAAGAAAGATAAGTGTGGTTTCAAATGTTCCATTTATTAAGTATGAAATGATAAAATCAACTGTAAGTTGCTAAGCTTTTTGGAGAAGTAGCAGTAGTAAGCGGAGTTACTTCTCATAGCGAAACTTTAGTCGGATTAAAAAGAAAAAAGAAAGATCTTTAAACTGCAGTCAATTTTCTTCGTCTTTAACAAGACAAACAATTCTGTTTTTTGGTGCAGACTTTTTTCACTAAAAAGAAAGAAAAGAAAATAAAACGTCCTTCTGTTACCTTTCATCAAAACTAAGTGTAACAATTCTTTTTTTTTTTTTTAAACGAAACCAATGTCCGTTTGGTGCACATGTGACTAATTTGACATACATTACGTTTACAAACACAACATATACGTGCATATATTTTGTTTTTATTATCTACTATCTACGTTTGTGTCATAGCCGTCTGTCGCTGTAGTGACGGGATTTGATTACCCAAGGAAGACTTCCTTGCACGAACCTTTATCATAAGGAGTGGACACTTATCCCTCCGTTACTCTTAATTTCTCACGCTTATGCTTCCTTCTATCGTATGTGTCAAATGGAGGATCTTTACTCGTGGAGAAGCTCCCTCTTTTGCCGCCTGAGGATTGCATGTTTGTATAAACTAACAAAGATGCAGTGCTGACAGTACGGAAACATTTCTCATGATACAATTTAAAGTTTTCGATTTTGTGAAAATGTTTATATATACAGCGTCTGAAAAAAATGTACCCACACTTCAAGAAAAAATAAGGGTATAGATAATTTAATAAAGAATTTGTTCAGACATCACGAATTTAGTACAAGGTAGATGCGGACATTACTATCACAAGAGATGCTCGAAATGGTGACCTTTCACTTCCAGATATTCATGATACTGCCTGGACAACGTTGGCCAAAATGTCCACCTACTCACGTATTTTCAATTTCTTGTCTAGGGACCGCCAATTAAATCCATCTGTCGAGAAAATATCGTAAACAGTGATAGCACAATTTGTTGAGAAAGACAAGTTTTCCTTTCCTGATGTCTATATATATTTTGAGGTCGACTCTGCATATATATATATATATATATATATATATATATATATATATATATATATTGAAAAAATTGAAGTCAGCACTCAGAGGCGACAGACTCTTTCATGCTAAACGCAACCATCAGGCCGATATTTAACCGTCCCCCCACGAGGAATGTATGTGGCACAAGGCCGAGTTTAACGTGGGTTTCTCCGAGCCCGTAGGCTCGGCCAAAAAATAAGCGGGTTCGGGATCTGTCTACCTCCCCGGACGAAACTTTACTCTTCGGCAAAGCTTCGTCCGGGTTCCTCTCTGCCAAAGCAAAGAATTCGACAGAAGTCGCACACAGTCAGAGACTGCGTGTCTACTGACTCAACGCAATCGTCAAGCCAAATGTGTTGTGTTTCTTTCAACTATTTATATATACGGGACAGTGGTGCATTGTGGGTAGTCTATTACATTTTCTGTAGTCTATTCTAACGGTTATTTGTTAATTTAATCTTTATTTTATTTATTTAATTGGTTTAATTTATTTTACTTGATTTTGCTTATTTATTTTTATTTATTCTTTTCAGTTTTCGGGTTTTACGTAACGCAGTAAAATTTTGTTTTCGTGTCTGTATTTTGAGATGAGTTCTGATCGTTTATTTAGTAGTTTGTTTTGGTCTCGGAAGGTAATTATATTTTCATAGGTTCTATCTCTGATATTTAGCAATTTATCCCATAAATATAGTATAACTTAAAACTATATTTATTCATATATATATATATATATATATATAT